AACAGTTTAATAACTAAAGCTAGTTCAGGAAAACAGCAAGCAAAACGAAAGGGTTAACTTTTAAAAAACATGTTAACAGGGTGGAAACGAAGGAACAATGGTATATACATGTTTGAAACGAACGAAGAGATTATTTACATGTTATGTCATGAAATGAAAAATTCAAGGGTAAGAGTGACTTACCTTGATGGAGGCGTTGAATAGGTGTGGGACCTTGAGTGGAGGTCCAAGGTTCTGGATTTGACAGAGGGGGCCAACAGTTGTGCTTGGACTGCTGGATTCGAAGGAAGGAAAGAAACAAGTCTTATGTTTCTTTCCAAACTAGATTCAAAGGATACTGAAGAATATTTGTTCTTCAGAATCGAAGGAAGCAAGTGTTTGGTATTCTGGGTTTTGATTGATCAAGTGTTGATGAACTTGAGAGTTTTTCTGTGTTTGAGAAACTTTGGGAGATTCGTTCTGCTGGCCAAAAAATCCTCTCTTAGCTTTGCATAAATTCCTCTATTTATAGAGAAAGAATGGACATGTTGTCCAAAGCCATCCTTGCACATAAATGATAAAATAATGGATAACGTGAAAGGTACAAGTGGGGGGCCTGTTGGCAGCAGCAGCAGTGGGGTGCAGAAGATGTGACTTATGCCTCTGACATTGCTTGTGCTCAGACCAAATTCAGTTTGAAAGCTGCTTTTGTGATAAAGTACTCTCTGTTTGAAGAAAGAGTATGTAGCCTTTAACCCAGAATAGTAGTATCTAAAAGACAAAGTTTAAAACCTTTGTACAAGCTTCTGACTATGTAAAGATCTGGATGCAACATAGCCTGACAAATGAGATTTGGTCTTGAGTCAAATGCAAGAGTGAGGTTGAAGCACACCTGTTTGAAGGAAGCCTTTGCCTCAGTCGAAACTTGTGGTCGAAACAAGCTAACTCGAAGGAAGTTATTGCCCAATCGAAAGCTCATGCTCGAAGGAAGCATATTGCCCAATCGAAAGCTCATGCTCGAAGGAAACATATTGCCCAATCGAAGCATGTGGATTCGAAGGATGCACATAGATGGTTACCTTGTCCCATCGAAACTTGTCCAAACAAAGCAAGCATGCAGGCAGCAATCTTGTCCAGTCGAAGCAGGCTTGTAGGCAGCAAAATGTCCAGATTCGAAAGAGGCATACATGAGGCAAAATGTCCAGATTCGAAAGAGGCATACATGAGGCAAAATGTCCAGATTCGAAAGAGGCATACATGAGGCAAAATGTCCAGATTCGAAAGAGGCATGCAGGAGGCAAAAAGTCCAGATTCGAAAGAGGCACGCTGGTAGCCATTTTGAGCAATCGAAAGAGGCCAAGAGTCAATTGAAGGAGCTGAATCGAAAAACACTTGTTTTTATCCAAATTTTCCAAAATATTAATTTTATTTGTTTTCCCCCTTTTTGACAGTTTCCTTTTGGTATTGGAAAATCCCAATGCACTTGTTTAAGCTTAAACCTTGAAATCCTTGTAAGAAAAGCCTTGAGAATTGAGAGGGAAAATTTTGGGGTACAACACATGTCAACATGTTATTCGAGTGCTAATGGTGAAAAATTATTTTTCCCTCCCATCAAAATAATTTTCTCTCCAATGGAGATGGGAAAGTCCATTGATTTAAAAATCTAGTCACATAATCAACTGCATGTTGAGAATCAAGTATGAGAAAGAAGTCTCACACATTGATCAGAAAAAGGAAGATTGAGCACTTTATAAGTGAGAGAACTCACACACCTATCACCTTAAGGTTTTAGGTGTGGTGTCTCTCTCACTTATGTGTTGCTTGCCTCTAACAGTGATATCAGAGTCTGGTTCGAGAAAGGGGGAGCATTATGGATTCGCACTTGAGGGATGGGGTGTTAGAATATTTATAAGTGGGAGAATCTACTCACCTATAACCTTAAGGTTTTAGGTGGACAAATGGTATGCCTCTCACAAATATGCCTAGTCCTACACTATGTATCAATGCTTCCTAGTAACTCCCTCCAACAAATGGTATCAGAGCCTTTGGTTTCGAGTGAAAGGGCCAACTTACTTGTATCAAAAAGTACTCCCCACAGGTGGTGGATAGGAGGTGTCATGTTAAAGAGTGTTAATGGTGGTATAAGTTTATATGGAAGAAAGAGCTTCCACTTGAGGGGAAGCATTAGAATCACACTTGGGGGGGGGGGGGGGTGTTAAGAATCAATTGTGAGGAAGAAGTCTCACACATTGATTAGAAAAAGAAAGGTTGAGCATTTTATAAGTGAGAGAACCCATACAGCTATCACCTTAAGGTTTTAAGTGAATATGTGGTGTCTCTCTCACTTATGTATTGCTCTCCTCTAACACTGTAATGGTGGCTCCTCGTTAAAATTTCAATCTCTAACTCTATGTTTAAAAGTTGAATCATTGAAAAAAAAGAACGAGAACAAGTTGCTACAAGAGTGTTGGAAAATATTATCTTAGAGGTAAAAAGCATGTCGGAAAGTCAAGAACTTTTGATTGATTTGGAATATGAAGTTCCAACTAATGATGAGTGTGATGTTAAAAATCCCATTATTTCAAAAACCAAAGGTCGACCGAAAGGATTACGACTAAAAAGAGGAGTTGAAGCTGCAAAAATGATTTGGGGTTGTCATGTTCCAGATTGTGGAGGAACTGATCACGACTTGTGAAACTGTCCTAATAAGAAGAAAAGGATGGAAATATTTTCTTCTCAATCTCCTAATAAGTAAGCTTTAAGTGATATTTTTTTTATTCATAACTAGAAATATTAAATGATAATATTCAATGTGTATATTTTCTTGTGTTTTGACATGATCATAAAGGATTGGAAATGGTTAGTCATCTTTAAATAAAGTGACTTAGAGATATGGAGTGATTAAGATGTTTTGTTTTGATTTATCTTATAGCTGTTTTGTTTTAATTTATCTACAAATTTTTTAAATCAAGTACTGTGTAATTACTTTATTTTATGACAACACTTGTTACCAACTACTTAACTAAGAATATAATATGCCACCAAACATCCTATATTACCATTCTTTCAAAATAAATTTGCACTAACAAATGCCCTTAATAGTAGTTTTCTAAATCAATTAAATTGGACTAATGACATTGTCTCATTCATCCAAGTGACACATATTTTTTAATCCTTCTATTGGATTTTGGAGAAAAAGTTGTATTATCCGGTAGACAAGTTCATACCCAATACATCCCATTTTCAACGATTCTCTCTATCTCTTTACTTTTTCAAAAACTGATTTGTTCTCTCTATTTCTCACTCTTTTTCTTCTACCCCTTTCTCTCTATGTGTTCTCTCTTTCACTCATAACCCAAAATTATTGTCGCCATATGTATTCCTCAGATCTGATATTTGGTTGGAGCATCACTTCAGATTTGTTGAGCCTTATGGTGTGTTACTGTGTATAGATGAAAAAGGAAGTGAATAAAGTATATGGATGAGGAGATTCCAGTTGAGATTAAAGCATTAGGTTTTGAGGTATGGTGATTTTGGATACCGTTGCAAGTGGGGTAGAAATATAATGATGTTAGAAGAAGAGTTGAGGTCCGATTTTTATGGTGAGAGATGGCTTAAAAAGATGAGAGAGAGAGAGAGAGAGAGAGAGAGAGAGATCAAAAGTGTAAAAACCTAGAACCTACACCGTCCTTGGGTTGATTCATCTTCAACATCGTACCGATTTTTTTTTAGGTAACTACATCTATTCAATGAAATTTACAGGAATGTCTGACAGTTCGGTCTTCTTAACAAAAGTTGATCCACAAAATACCAATTTGAAATTATGATTAGTCGACTTAAAAGAGAAATCATTATTTGAGACTTTGAAATTCTGAATTATGTAAGAACTTACAACAACGAGTTCTTCCTTGAATTTTGAAACCAAAAAAGAAGGCACAACGACTTGAATCATATCAAGCTACAAATCACAAAAGGTAAAGTTTTTATTAGATTAAAACATACTGCAACTAAAAATAACAAACATGACCCATTCATCTCACCTTTGAATCAACCAAAATCATCTCAATATATTCTTTTTTTGAAGCACTTGTGACAGACCATATATGTTTACACCTAACGACGATCTTCCATAAATCCTTGGACTCATTGATTTCCTTGACAACTTCAATAGGGCGAGCCATAGATTGATTTAGAATCTGTAACAAAAAAACCAAAATGAAAGATTTAGAGTTAGAAATAAAACACAAAACAAACAACATGGACTGAATAATAAATGACAGAAACAAAAACACAGTTTACACATTCTCTCAAAATAGGACAAACACGATACAAACCCTAAATAGAAGAACCTACCTACCTGGGTAGTACAACCAGAAGTTTGAAATATGAAGGATATTAGATTTTGTAGGTTTATGCGCTTGCATATTTATGGGGTAGATTTTAGATATCGAAAGTTGAACGGTTTGTAAGGTTATAGATTGGAAGATGCGTAGTATATGCCGCTTCATATTTCAAGAAGGAGAAGGTTGCTATTATTTATTCGTGTAATAGACAATCAACCCTTTAATAGATACTTAGTAATGGAATAATGGAATAAAAATAAAATAAAATGCAACAAAAAATATTGGGTTGACACATTAACCCTATTAATTATCAAATGAATGTAATGCAAGTATTGTTTAAATAATTCTAATTACCTTTGGAATTAGACTAATTATAACTTCTAATCAGATGGATTATGTTATAATTTTCATGTGCTTTTCATGTTATATATTTATAATAGATATTGACCATCATGTGTTTCGGGTTTCATAATAAATAGCATGGTTCTTTGTTTTAATAACATTATTCTAATTATATTCAATGTTTTTGGCCAAAGTTGCAGACTTTTAACTACTAAAAGAAGTTGTTTAAAATTTTAGAAACAAAAAATAATGAAACATTATTAATTAAGGGTGTTTATTAATTTGGACAAATTAAAACTATACTAGAATTCAAACTAAATCACAATGTTTAGGGTTATGGCGAAAACCAAGTGGGGCATTGGCCGTCCGGCTAAAGGGACGACGATGAACCAGAAGACAACAACGACACCTTTTATCACTATAGAGAATACGGAGACTGACTCGGGACCAATTGAAGCACCGCAGGATGAGGAAGAAACTACTCGAGAAAATCTGGTGACTGTGACGGTGGAAATACCCAACCTCCTGGAGATGGAGGCGAAGACCAACAAACCTTGGGTGGACGTTATCCAAGGTAATCGAAGCCTGAATAAGGGAATGTCTCTGGGGTACGTTGCACCTATGATGAGGGATGAGGAGATAGTCATTCAAATTGAGGAAGATGATGTGGCTGAAGAGCTTGAGTTCTGGAAGAATGCAATTGTCCTCTTTGCCTTAGGAGAAACACCATCGATGAATGCGGTTAAAAAATTTATGGAGAAGACATGAAACTTTGATGATCTTCCAGATCTCTACTATAATGATGCAGGATATTTTATTGTTATATGCAAGAGTACTAAGGACCAAGCACAAATCATGGTACAAGGACCATATTTCCTATTTGGTAAGCCTTTATTCCTAAAAAAATGGTCAATAAATTTTGAGATCAAAGATGATTTACTCCGGGTACTACCTATTTGGGTCACCTTACCCAATCTGCCTTTGTACCTATGGGGAAGAAGAGTATAACAAAAATTACTAGTGATATAGGTAAACCCATTAACACTGATGAGTTCACTGCCAGAAAACTGAGAGCATCATATGCTAGAATCTTGGTTGAAGTGGACATAACCCAAACCCCTAGGGAGAGTATCAAAATCCTGAACCATATGGGAGAAATGATGGAACAGGCTATTGAGTACGAGTGGAAACCACAATATTGTCATGCATGTTTGAAGATAGGACATGATTGTTCTGTGAAACAACAGGTGATAAAGAAAAGACATAAAATATGGAAATCGGTGGCTATTAAACCCTTGAAGCCAATTGAAGAAGAAAAAATGGAGGAGGCCACCACTCTTAATGAAGACATTGAGGAAAAGAAAGAGGAGAACAAATCACCAGGGATGAACCCTCCCTAGATACTGGTTACTTCAAATAAGACTGGAGACAGAGGCAAAAGGCAAGTGAAATCTCCCAAAGAAACCAACATAGATCTATTCAAGAACACTTTTACCCTCTTGAGGACTGGAACCTGTCTGATAGGGGAAGGTAGCCATCAGTAATGATCGTATCATGGAATGTTTGAGGAATGAATAAAGAGGCTAGACACAAAGAAATTGGCTCTTATATCTCCAAGCTTTCTGTGCCTGTTATAGGATTGCTAGAAACTCGTGTTAAGCAGAATAATGCAGAGAAAATCAGGAATAAGATGGGAAATGGTTGGAAGTTTTATGACAATTATTCTCACCACCCTAATGGGAGGATCTAGCTCTTATGGAACCCCAAGGAGGTGGAGATCAAGGTGCTTAGAACTGAGGACCAATTTATCCATGCAGAAGTTTATGGCCCTAATATGCAGCTCTTATATATGGTTACAATTATCTATGCTTTCAACAATCTGGAGAACAAAATAAAACTTTGGAAGGACATGGAGCAAATTGGGAATCATATGGATCACCCATGGATTGCAATGGGAGATCTCAATAATGTGATAAATACCCATGATAAAATAGGAGGTAATAAAGTGACTGAAAAAGAGTTTAAAGATCTGGTGGAGATGATGCAAACTACAAGTCTGTATGAGGCTGCTACCATTGGGCCTCACTATACTTGGACTAATAAACACTCCACAAGTACCATTTACTCCAGAATTAATCACTTGCTAGGAAATGCAGCTTGGTTTCAGAAGTTCCAGGATTCTCAGGTGATTGTGCTTAGTCCTCATATCTCTGATCATGCCATGTAAAGGTGGAGATCCAAAAGGCCATGAAAAGGAAAACAATCATGTTTAAATTTTTCAATAGTATTACACATGAACCCTCTTGCATGTAGAGAGTAGCTAACAGCTGGGAGTATAACATCCAGGGGACTGCTATGTACAGATTATGGAGCAACTTGATGAGACTTCAGAAAAATTTAAAACCTCTGATTAGAAAATATTCTGAGGTTCAAATTCATCTGCAGAAAGCCAGACAAGAGTTACAAGAAGCCCAAGAGACCCTGAACCACAATCTTTTTGATTCAGCTGCTATTGATTAGGGTAAGTCTAAAACAGAAATGGTGATTCAACTTAATCAGGTAGAAGAAAGCATCCTAATGCAAAAGGCTAAAATGGACTGGATGAGGCTGGGGGACAATAACAACTCCTATTTTCATGCTGCCATTAGGGAGAAAAATAAATAGAAGAGTCTACTTAACTTGCTTGTTCTAGATGGAAGATTGCTGAGTTCCCAGGAGGAGATAGAGCAGGAGATCCTTGAGTTCTATGGTAACCATGTGGGTACTAAAATCCCCAACTTAGCTGGAGTGCATATTGAAGCTATTAGAAAGGGTAAAACCTTGACTAGAGAGGAAGCCCTGAAGCTCATTAGCCCTGTGACTGAGGAGGAGATTAAAAAAGCCCTAAAGGGAATTGGAAATTCTAAAGCTCCTGGTTGTGATGAGTACAATGTTGTTTTTTTAAAGTCTACCTGGGAAGTTATAGGTAAAGATGTTATGGTTACTGTCAAGGAATTTTTTGAACATGGCTATATGCTTAGAGCTTTCAATTTCTCCCTTGTAACTATCATCCCCAAAACTCCGGAGGCAAAAACTGTTAAAGATATGCGACCCATAGCCTGCTGCAGTACCTTTTACAAGATTATTTCAAAAATCCTAGCATCCAGAATTGGTAATGTTCTAAATTCAGTGATTAACGATTGTCAATCTGCTTTCATACCAGGGAAGAATATACATGACAATATTATGATGGCTCGGGAGTTGGTGAAAGGGTATAACAGGAAAAGTATATCCCTCAGATGTATGATCCAGATGGATATACAAAAAGCTTATGATACTATTGATTGGGATGCTTTAATCCAGATCCTTGGGGAGATGGGATTCCAACGCATCTTCATCAACTGGATCTTTACCCGCCTGTCCACTGTTTCCTACAGATTTGTGGTTAATGGAAGTCCTTCTAAAATCTTGAAGGCCCAAAGAGGATTGAGACAAGGAGATCCCATCTCCCCTCTCCCTTTTGTGGTCATTATGGAGTATTTGAATAAAGTTCTTCATGGCTTGGAGAAAAACCATAACTTCAATTTCCATCCAAAATGTAGCAAATTACAAATTACTAATATGTGCTTTGCTGATGACATTTTATTATTTTCTAGGGGAGATGTTGAGTGAATCAGAATCATCACGCGAAAAGTTGAGGACTTCACTGCTACAACAAGGCTTAATATTAGTACTCAGAAAAGCAAGGTATTCTGTGGAGGAATGGAAAAGGATAGTATCAGGATTGTTCAACAAGAAACTGACTTTGTAAGAGGTGTTCTCCCTGTCAAATACCTTGGAGTTCCTCTTGATAGCAAGAAGCTAAATGTGTTGGAGTACAAGCCCCTTATTGACAAGATGCTCAGCAGGATTAACCATTGGAGCACAAGACTCCTCTCGTATGCTGGAAGGTTCTTACTTGTGAAGAGTGTGCTATTTTCCATAGCCAACTACTGGATGCAAATATTTGCTCTCCCCAAAAAAATCATTCACCATATCGAGGCCCTGTGTAGGAGGTTTTTGTGGACAAGAAGTGATATTAAAACCAAGAAGGCGCATGTGGCTTGGGATCAGGTTTGCAACCCGAAGAAAGTTGGTGGCCTTAATATGATATCGCTCGTGGAATGGAACCAGGCTACGATTGGTAAAATGATATGGAATCTAAATGAAAAAAAAGGACAAGTTGTGGATTAATTGGATATATAATTTCTATATGAAAGGCACCATCTGTAAAGAGTATCATCCCCCCATCATAGTTCTTGGGTTTTGAAAGTTATATTCAAGAACAAAGACAAGCTGATGAATTCAGATAAGTGGGAAAATTTCAAAGACTCGTGCAGTTACAGTACCAGGAGTGTTTATGACATGCTGAGAGGGGATAAGATGAAAATGAGCTGGAGAAAGCTTACCATGGGAAACCAGGCCAAACCCAGAACAATCATTGTGGCATGGATGACTTGCCTTGGGAGATTCCCAACCAAAGACATGGTGAACATATTCAGATTGAATACGGATGGACTGTGCGTGTTCTATGGTTTGCAAGAGAGCATCAAACATCTCTGCTACGACTGTGAGTTTGCAAAGAATCTGTGGAATCAATTATTTGATTGGGTTCTAGTGCACCAAAAGCCGATTAATGGACAGTAGAGCCTGGAATGGTTCGTAAACATGACTAAAAGAAAATCCTTGAATTGTGAAAGAATAAAGGTAATTTTGCTGAGGTGTTGTACAACATATAGATAACTCGTAATCTCATTATTTTCCAAGACAAAACTAAAGAGGAGCTGAAACTGGAAGACATTAAGGATAAAATTAGTATGGGGATGGATAAATACAAGAGGAAACATAACAAGTATGGGGGAATTTTTTGTAATTCTATTTTAACTATTTTTTTCTAGTCTTCGGGTAGCTTGGATCATATGATCGACATCTACTGAATATGTTTTTTGGGATTAATATATTGCATATCTTTCTCCAAAAAAAAAAGTTAATTAATTAATTTATAAACTAAATGAGTAAAAGTTAAAAATTCTGTTTATTTTTTAAATTTAATTTTAATTAGTGGGATACTCGTGCGTTTAATGGATACCGGTGTAGTACACACTTTTATTTTTAAAATATAATAAAAGTGTAAATAAGAAAAACAAAATAGTTTTATCAAAATAATTTATTATTTATAAAATAAGGACATAATTTAAAAATAAAAACAAAATTGTATCAATTTTTCAATTTTTAAAAGAAAGACATCAATAATATATATTTCAATTATTCATATATTTTTTTAAAATTTATTGTATATTAAATTAAAAATGATTGCAAAATAAATTTTTTATATACATAAACAATTAAAAAATAATACATATTTCTCGTGTTTGGATTCATATTTTATTTTAAATATATTTAATTTTATTTTCTTTAATTGTAAAAAAAATATAATAACTCATGTGTTTAAACGAATTTTGATCTATTTACCCGTGCATTCACACGGTACTGATGTGTTATCCGTGTGTTCACATAAATTTTGGCTTGATTATCGGTGCGTTCAAATGGTATTGGTGTGTTACCCGTGCACTCACACAGTACTAGTGTGTTATTCGTACGTTTGCACGATAGTGGTGTGATATCCACGATGTTGTTAATAGAAATTCTATTGGTTGAATAAATTAATTATAAAATTTTATTCCATCATGTACACTCTAAATATTTACTCCAATGAAAATAAAAAGATTAAATGCAATGAAATGGATTAATTTCTTTATAATGAAATGTATCGCGAAGATAAAATAACTACTAAATCTTTAGTGTTACAACAATTTCATTTTAGTTACATAGACCACGATTTGGTTGATACTGAATGCTGATAGTAGCCAAAGAAGTGGAGAAAATCCCTATCAACAAAATGTCTTAATATATTAAAGACATACATTTTCAACATGTATTCTTAATAGGAACTTAAATTCATGGTTGAAGAATTTTTTTAAATTAGAAGTTACTTAACTTTTTTAAAAATCCATAACAAATTAGACCTTAAACAACCAATCAATAACAATCAAAGTTTGTAAAAACAATTTTGAAACTTACTTTTAACCAAAATTCAACAACAGATTAAACACATTCACAGTAGCATATATAAAATAATGATTTTAGTAGCTTCAAATGTCATGTATCAAATTATTAGTTACTTAAATATAGGGGTGTAGTGCATTTCTTATAAGTTATTGAACAACAATATGAAAATTTTGATTTTAGTATGGACTACTTAAACTGAATATTCGACAGTTTGCAACAAATCACAAAGTGAGAATCTAATCAACATTTTATATTTTACATCATCCATCAACACTTCAATTTGAACTATTTTATTCAATATTTCCATTAGCTCATTCAACAAAGCACTCAAATTATCAATGTTAAAAATGTCACTACTTGGCCCAGCTAGTAACATATTTGTAAAATAGAGCAATATTATATGATGTACTGCACCTAAGTAATATTAAAAAGAGAATAATCTTTCAACAAATCATAAAGCTTATAAAAAAATTCATGCAAAATGGGAAGATTTACTACCTTTAGTTGTAATAAGTGATACCAATAAGAAGAATTAAACTATGTTGATGTTGATGAAATTGAAAGTGTTGTTGTTGATGGTGGCTAGAAATAACAGTATGTTCCCGTAGTAAATCATTCAAAATTATCATGTAATTAAATAAATAATGTGATACAAAAGTTTTGTTTTGTATTTATAACTTAATATGAGGTATACAAATTCTAATTTAAATTTTAATTCTAATTCGAAATATAAATCGATAGAAAGACTAAAATAGCCCAAAATATGGCTAAGTTCAATGCAAAAATTTACCGTTGTCACTAATTTTTTGGCTTCACCAACACACTCTTCCAAAAGCAAAACTTCCTCTGGTTGTGCAGGATACTCTAGTAGCTTTTTGCATGAAAACATTTGTATTTGTTTAAGATAAGAATGTTTGATTTTACTCCTTCAAACGTCACAACAAAGACTGAGAATATGCTCTCAACCTATAAGCTTCTTTATCTGAATGAACCATTCCAGATCATATTGGTTCACGAGGGAAATGACAATCCCGAAGTGTCCTACACGAGCAGTCCTTTCAGCACGATGTATATAATTCTATATAGTTAACAAAGTCAGGATTTACCCAGTGAAAACAAATTATATTTATATGTTTTCTGTTAATTTAGATATATCATCCTAAAATAGTCGTGAAATTACTAATAAATTTCTATCATTATATTAAGCCAATTGTGAACTTATACTTAATTATTAATGCGTTAAACTTGTCAAAAAATTATTATGGAACACATCGTACTTTGGAGTTTGTGGGAATGTGATAGTTAATCACCATATCCACTACTGGAATATCAAATCTGGAGATTGCAATATTCTTCTTAGTATTGACCTACAAGATATTAGGTAAAATTGCAAGAAGGTAAGTTTAGAACAAATTACAATTATAATGCTAGATATCATGTAGAATTACCTGACTCATATGACCATTAATTGGGATGACTTTCAAACCAAGATTTCTAAGAATCAAAGCAAGAAACCGAGTGGCGTCACATGTCCGAGTGAACACCATTAATGTACTTTCGACCATTTCAGTGAGAATGTACACAAGGTAGAAATCCTAGAAAAGAAGCAAGCAATTGACAAACACAATTATCAAAAGCATGAAAGATAGTAGTTGTGATTCATGAAACCCAAAATGAATGAAATTTTGTTAGTTTCAAATCAAAGAGGCAATTTTGTAAAAAAAATGACATTTCCTTTGTAACAGGAGTGCTCTCTCGTCTGAATCTAACACCATAACTCAATCTTATCGTGTTAGAAATTACTTTTACTTTGCTAATTGTATTATATTTGTCAATGTAACTTTGACTCGACTATATGTCATCAATCAAAAACAATGTAAAGCAGTAAATATTTTAAAAAGGAGAACGTGTATCTTATGTTTTGCTGGAAAGAAGCAGAATTGTTGCTTCAGTGTGTCCCCGGTATAATACTTGATTGATGCTTCGATCTAAAGTGAACATAAAATTGTGAAAAACCTGTGTATATACCAGTAAACCACAATTAATTTCAAAGGAAAATTCTTATATTACATTTTCTAAATTTAATAATAACATTTTCCTCCACCATGAGATGAAATAATATGCTAGACTATTGTCCCTTTTAATGTAAATGAACCAGTTAATGGTGGTACCAGTGAGCAAACCACCAAAGGACATTTTTGTTCTTCTGATTTCCAATGGCATAGAGATGCAAAATCATTTCTAAATTTGTCAAAATTTGCACATATTCTACAATCAATCAGTGTTCAAAACATAAGAACTGTGTCGAACCTACAACCTCCACTAGTGGTGCAAACACACGGGTGTCGACGTACTCCCGCACAGATTGAACTCCTCGGCGGTGGCTATTGCTGGCGCGTAATATTTTCCAAACTAGTGAAGAAACCAAATAACAACTGATGTCATTGATAATTCATTATACATTGCCTTACAGACACAAAAGACTTATGTCAACAAAGAGAAAAACGCTCTTATGGTAAATCAAGTGAGTAAATTAGACACATTTTATACAAATATTTGGAGGTCACAAAAAACTTGAACCGACAGGAGAAATTTCTTCCAGACTGAAAGAAAGAATAGACAAATTTAATTGTAACTTAGGTTGTTCATAAGTCATAATCAAACAAATATTTTTATATTTTCACTAACCAATTACCTTTTCCCCAAGCTTTCAATGATGTCACCAGTGATATGTCTTTCTAATAAAATATTATAATTTGAGATTCGATTCTTTACCAGCAATATCAATATATTGGCGTGCCCATGATAAAAAGACAACATTATATAATGACCTGGGTGATGATACCGATACCGCCAGTAGTATCGTCAATCAGCACACAAGACAAAAGAAAGATAACCGATGAATATATTGAAAATAGAAAACTAGCCGAAGTTTGACAAATCAATACATATCCTATGCTTGTTTTTACTTGAGCCAACTCATCTTTCTATGAAGAAAGATGATTCATAAAAGACATATCATCAATGTAAATCCTAAGCCATGGAAGCGTTGGATCTCTTAATGATAATGGACAATGGAGAAAGTCAACCATATTAATTCATATCATCATTATCATTAAAACTAGTATAAAATGTTCAACTTCAATAAAAAAAAAATGAAACATCATCTATGAATATATATATATATATATATATATATATATATATATATATATATATATATATATATATATATATATATATATATATATAAAAGTTAATTAATTAATTTATAAACTAAATGAGTAAAAGTTAAAAATTGTGTTTATTTTTCAAACTTAATTTTAATTTTAAATTCAATTCATTACTGAGAAGAATCATGGCTTGTCTGCTCGTATTGAAAAGTGGAGAAAAAGTTTTGTACACAAAATCTAGTGTACCAAAATTCATCTCTTTTCTTTGCATCATTTAACTAGTTGTAGCACAAGCTTGATGTCAGAACAAACAACCAAAAATCGTCATCAATTGAAAGCGTATTGAAAGCGTTAAGGGCTTAATCGGGCATGCTAAACATAACATAATTTTTAAATTAGGAATGA